AAAACTTTTTTCCATGCAATTAAGAATGTCAACAAACGACAAAAGTGTAGAACATTATGTTTTCAAAAAAAGTTGACCCTTCCGGCAAGTTCTGACGCTTCGTAAGAAATAATTTATACTCGAAAAGTTGCGTCGCCCTTTCGCGGAAGTTGATTAAAACTCCTCAGCCCGTTTCCTTTAACTTTATTAGGAACGAGCGGGGCATGTCGCGAGGGTCATCCATAGAGAGCAAGTTAATATTTCATGAAGCTATTTAAAAGTTTTCGAATCATGGCTCCATTCCAATTAGTAGCCGGTTTCGGATTTGACCCTTACCCTCTTACTGACTTAACAGGTCGACTTCCATGATGCGAGTCGTGATATGTTTTCCTATGTTCTCCTAATAATATTCCATTATTAATAGAGATCATTAAGCGGATTCAAACAAACTTATTAACCCATATTGTAGGTAAATATTTTCTATATAGGTAAATGTGGGTTAGAACGTCCCTTAGGAAATAAAGCCCATCAGGAAATTATTCCCGCCAGGATATAAGGCCAGCTCTTAATATTTAACAAAATAAGAGTTAACTGTATTGCAGAGATATTTATTATATTTGGGTCAAATAAGAGAAAACTCGCAGTTAATTTCGCAACAGCCCTTAACTATCAAATTTGCAAGTATTTGACTTTTCTGTCTAGTTATTACAGGTTTTTTGCGGTTATTTTGTACAACCTATTGTATCACCTCTGTAAATGGTTAAAGAGTACATACATTTTCCACACACATCTTACTCGGAACATTTTTTTATACATATTCATTGTCAACAAAATTACTGAAAAATTTAAATTTTATACTTTTCCTCAAATTTTTCCATTTTAAAGAAATCATGCATAAAATAAAAATTATAGGAAACTAGTTGAACCGATCCCGCTTGGCTGGAATTTCTAAAATCTCAATTATTAAAAGTGAATAACATTTTGTTACTCGAGAGAAATTTTTTAATAATTAATTTTAATGTTTTTTAATTTTTATTAATTTTTAACAATGTTTATCAATGTTTATCAATTTTTATTAATTTTTATCAATTTTTATCAATTTTTATCAATTTTTATCAATTTTTATCAATTTTTATCAATTTTTATCAATTTTTATCAATTTTTATCAATTTTTATCAATTTTTATCAATTTTTATCAATTTCTATCAATTTTTATCAATTTTTATCAATTTTTATCAATTTTTATCAATTTTTATCAATTTTTATCAATTTTTATCAATTTTTATTAATTTTTATCAATTTTTATCAATTTTTATCAGTTTTTATTAATTTTTATCAATTTTAATCAATATTTATCAATATTTATCAATTTTTATCAATTTTTATCAATTTTTATCAATTTTTTATCAATTTTTATCAATTTTTATCAATTTTTATCAATTTTTATCAATTTTTATCAATTTTTATCAATTTTTATCAATTTTTATCAATTTTTATCAATTTTTATCAATTTTTATCAATTTTTATCAATTTTTATCAATTTTTATCAATTTTTATCAATTTTTATCAATTTTTATCAATTTTTATCAATTTTTATCAATTTTTATCAATTTTTATCAATTTTTATCAATTTTTATATAATTTTTATTAATTTTTTATCAATTTTTATCAATTTTTATCAATTTTTATCAATTTTTATCAATTTTTATCAATTTTATCAATTTTTATCAATTTTTATCAATTTTTATCAATTTTTATCAATTTTTATCAATTTTTATCAATTTTTATCAATTTTTATCAATTTTTATCAATTTTTATTAATTTTTATCAATTTTTATCAATTTTTATCAGTTTTTATTAATTTTTATCAATTTTAATCAATATTTATCAATATTTATCAATATTTATCAATTTTTATCAATTTTTATCAATTTTTATCAATTTTTTATCAATTTTTATCAATTTTTATCAATTTTTATCAATTTTTATCAATTTTTATCAATTTTTTTATCAATTTTTATCAATTTTTATCAATTTTTATCAATTTTTATCAATTTTTATCAATTTTTATCAATTTTTATCAATTTTTATCAATTTTTTATCAATTTTTATCAATTTTTATCAATTTTTATCAATTTTATCAATTTTTATCAATTTTTATCAATTTTTATCAATTTTTATCAATTTTTATCAATTTTTATCAATTTTTATCAATTTTTATCAATTTTTATCAATTTTATCAATTTTTATCAATTTTTTATCAATTTTTATCAATTTTTATCAATTTTTATCAATTTTTATCAATTTTTATCAATTTTTATCAATTTTTATCAATTTTTATCAATTTTTATCAATTTTTATCAATTTTTATCAATTTTTATCAATTTTTATCAATTTTTATCAATTTTTATCAATTTTTATCAATTTTTATCAATTTTTATCAATTTTTATCAATTTTATCATTTTTATCAATTTTTATCAATTTTTTATCAATTTTTATCAATTTTTATCAATTTTTTATCAATTTTTATCAATTTTTATCAATTTTTATCAATTTTTATCAATTTTTATCAATTTTTATTAATTTTTATCAATTTCTATCAATTTTTATTTATTTCAAATTATTTTTATTATTTTATATTATTATTTTAGTAGTTTTTTATTATTTTTTATTATTATTTATTATATTTGATTATTTTTTAATAATTTTTTAAATTTTTATTTGGTTTTATTTATTTTTATTTATTTTTATTTATTTATTTTTATTTATTTTTATTTATTTTTATTTATTTTTATTTATTTTTATTTATTTTTATTTATTTTTATTTATTTTTATTTATTTTTATTTATTTTTATTTATTTTTATTTATTTTTATTTATTTTTATTTATTTTTATTTATTTTTATTTATTTTTATTTATTTTTATTTATTTTTATTTATTTTTATTTATTTTTATTTATTTTTATTTATTTTTATTTATTTTTATTTATTTTTTATTTATTTTTATTTATTTTTATTTATTTTTATTTATTTTTATTTATTTTTATTTATTTTTTATTTATTTTTATTTATTTTTATTTATTTTTATTTATTTTTATTTATTTTTATTTATTTTCATTTATTTTTATTTATTTTTATTTATTTTTATTTATTTTTATTTATTTTTATTTATTTTTATTTATTTTTATTTATTTTTATTTATTTTTATTTATTTATTTTTATTTATTTTTATTTATTTTTATTTATTTTTATTTATTTTTATTTATTTTTTATTTATTTTTATTTATTTTTATTTAATTTATTTTTATTTATTTTTATTTATTTTTATTTATTTTTATTTATTTTTATTTATTTTTTTATTTATTTTTATTTATTATTTAGTATAACGTTGATCCCCATTTCTCTTTCACGTTAAAATGTTAAAATCCAAAAAACCTTGAAATACGTCATTATATGCTAATAATGATTAGCTACAATTCCAATTTTCAAGTTCCTACCTTTAAAAAAGCGACACCAAACTTCCCTTTTCCTCTCCTTTCCCTCCTTTCCCTCCTTTCCCTCCTTTCCCTCCCTTTCCCTCCTTTCCCCCATTTCCCTCCTTTCCCTCCTTTCCCTCCTTTCCCTCCTTTTCCCTCCTTTCCCTCCTTTCCCTCCTTTCCCTCCTTTCCCCCATTTCCCCTCCTTTCCCCCATTTCCCTCTTTTCCCTCCTTTCCCTCCTTTCCCTCCTTTCCCTCCTTTCCCTCCTTTCCATCCTTTCCCTCCTTTCCCTCCTTTCCCTCCTTTCCCCTCCTTTCCCTCATTTCCCTCCTTTCCCTCCTTTCCCTCCTTTCCCTCCTTTCCCTCCTTACCCTCATTTTCCTCCTTTCCTTCCTTTCCCTCCTTTCCCTCCTTACCCTCATTTTCCTCCTTTCCTTCCTTTCCCTCCTTTCCCTCCTTTCCCTCCTTTCCCTCCTTTCCCTCCTTTCCCTCCTTTCCCTCCTTTCCCTCCTTTCCCTCCTTTCCCTCCTTTCCCCTCCTTTCCCTCCTTTCCCTCCTTTCCCTCCTTTCCCCTCCTTTCCCTCCTTTCACTCCTTTCCCTCCTTTCCCTCCTTTCCCTCCTTTCCCTCCTTTCCCTCCTTTCACTCCTTTCCCTCCTTTCCCTCCTTTCCCTCCTTTCCCTCCTTTCCCTCCTTTCCCTCCTTTTCCTCCTTTCCCTCCTTTCCCTCCTTTCCCTCATTTCCCTCCTTTCCCTCCTTTCCCTCCTTTCCCTCCTTTCCCTCCTTTCCCTCCTTTCCCTCATTTCCCTCCTTTCCCTCCTTTCCCTCATTTCCCTCCTTTCCCTCCTTTCCCTCCTTTCCCTCCTTTCCCTCCTTTCCCTCCTTTCCCTCCTTTCCCTCATTTCCCTCCTTTCCCTCCTTTCCCTCCTTTCCCTCCTTTTCCTCCTTTCCCTCCTTTCCCTCCTTTCCCTCCTTTTCCTCCTTTCCCTCCTTTCCCTCCTTTCCCTTCCTTCTCTCCTTTACCTCCTTTCCCTCCTTTCCCTCATTTCCCTCCTTTCCCTCCTTTCCCTCCTTTCCCTCCTTTCCCTCCTTTCCCTCCTTTCCCTCCTTTCCCTCCTTTCCCTCCTTTCCCTCCTTTCCCTCCTTTCCCTCCTTTCCCTCCTTTCCCTCATTTCCCTCCTTTCCCTCCTTTCCCTCCTTTCCCTCCTTTCCCTCCTTTCCCTCCTTTCCCTCATTTCCCTCCTTTCCCTCCTTTCCCTCCTTTCCCTCCTTTCCCTCCTTTCCCTCCTTTCCATCCTTTCCCTCCTTTTCCTCCTTTCCCCTCCTTTCCCTCCTTTCCCTCCTTTCCCTCCTTTCCCTCCTTTCCTTGCATTTTCTCCTCCTTACTCTTATTTCCCTCCTTTCCCTCCTTACCCTCATTTCCCTTCTTTCCCTCCTTTCCCTCCTTTCCCTCCTTTCCCTCCTTTCCCTCCTTTCCCTCCTTTTCCTCCTTTCCCTCCTTTTCCCTCCTTTCCCTCCTTTCCCTCCTTTCCCTCCTTTCCCTCCTATTCCCTCCTTTCCCTCCATTCCCTCCTTTCCATCCTTTCCCTCCTTTCCCTCCTTCCCTCCTTTCCCTCCTTTCCCTCCTTTCCCTCCTTTCCCTCCTTTCCCTCCTTTCCCTCCTTTCCCTCCTTTCCCTCCTTTCCCTCCTTTTCCTCCTTTCCCTTCTTTCCCTCCTTTCTCTCCTTTCCCTCCTTTCCCTCCTTTCCCTCCTTTCCTTCCTTTCCCTCCTTTCCCTCCTTTCCCTCCTTTCCCTCCTTTCCCTCCTTTCCCTCCTTTCCCTCCTTTCCCTCCTTTCCCTCCTTTCCCTCCTTTCCCTCCTTTCCCTCCTTTCCCTCCTTTCCCTCCTTTCCCTCCTTTCCATCCTTTCCCTCCTTTCCCTCCTTTCCATCCTTTCCCTCCTTTCCCTCATTTCCCTCCCTTCCCTCCTTTCCCTCATTTCCCTCCTTTCCCTCCTTTCCCTCCTTTCCCTCCTTTCCCTCCTTTCCCTCCTTTCCCTCCTTTCCCTCCTTTCCCTCCTTTCCCTCCTTTCCCTCCTTTCCCTTCTTTCCCTCCTTTCCCTCCTTTCCCTCATTTCCCTCATTTCCCTCCTTTCCCCCCTTTCCCCCCTTTCCCCCCTTTCCCTCATTTCCCTCATTTCCCTCATTTCCCTCATTTCCCTCCTTTCCCTTATTTCTCTCCTTTCCCTCCTTTCCTTCCTTTCCCTCCTTTCCCTCCTTTCCCTCCTTTCCCTCCTTTCCCTCCTTTTCCTCCTTTCCCTCCTTTCCCTCCTTTCCCTCCTTTCCCTTATTTCCCTCATTTCCCTGGTTTCCCTCGTTTCCCTCATTTCCCTCCTTTCCCTCATTTCCCTCATTTCCCTCCTTTCCCCTCATTTCCCTCCTTTCCCTCCTTTCCCTCCTTTCCCTCCTTTCCCTCCTTTCCCTCCTTTCCCTCCCTTTCCTCCTTTCCCTCCTTTCCCTCCTTTCCCTCCTTTCCCTCCTTTCCCTCCTTTCCCTCCTTTCCCTCCTTTCCCTCCTCTTCCATCCTTTCCCTCCTTTCCCTCCTTTCCCTCCTTTCCCTCCTTTCCCTCCTTTCCCTCCTTTTCCCTCCTTTCCCTCCTTTCCCTCCTTTCCCTCCTTTCCCTCCTTTCCCTCCTTTCCCTCCTTTCCTCCTTTCCCTCCTTTCTCCTCCTTTCCCTCCTTTCCCTCCTTTCCCTCCTTTCCCTCCTTTCCCTCCTTTCCCTCCTTTCCCTCCTTTCCCTCCTTTCCCTCCTTTCCCTTCTTTCCCTCCTTTCCCTCCTTTCCCTTCTTTCCCTCCTTTCCCTCATTTCCCTCCTTTCCTTCCTTTCCCCCTTTCCTTTCCTCCTTTGTCCCCTTTTTTTCCTTAAAATATGAAAATCCAAATTAATTATTTATTTGTGAAGACTGTTAAAGTTTTCAAGTTAAAAAAATCGGTACTTCCATACAAACTCCTAACCCCCGTTTCCTTCCCTTAAAATGTGAAAATTTAGAAACTCTGGAACATGTCATTATTTATTTATTTATGCTCAGTAGCTGCATTTCAAGGTTTCATGTTTTATCTACCATTATGCAAAAAAATCTTGTGTGAAAAACAAAAACAAATCTATCCCACGGGAACCGTATATTTTCCGTTAAGCCGTTCTTGCGTGATTGAGCAACAAACATCCATCTATCCATAAATCCAAACTTTTGCATTATATATACAGGGTGTTTCAAAAAGGTATGTCTTAAATTCATCCTCAGATAGATTACCAAAAAATAAGTGGATTTGGCTATATTTACTTATATAAAAAACTGGCTCCCAACAAAGTTACAGGGTGTTGAACTAACATTCAGAAAAACGTTTTTTTTTTTATAAAGTTTACTGTTACGATTTTTTCTTCGAAATTTTTGTCAGTGCTGTAGATTTGAAAGCTAAGGATAAAAAAAATTTAATGCGACCCCTTTAAAAAAAGTTGGGAGGTTGGGTACCTTTTAACCCCCCGTATTTTTTTGACATAAAGAAACTTGCTTTATTGATCTTAACATCAAAAAGAACTATGAATTTTTAAAAATTTTTTATAGTAAAATGAACTTTGTATCTTCCTTATTTAACGAGCTATTTACAATTTTTTAACTGAATTTCTAGAGCAATTCGTCCGTTCTGGACTTAACATATCAACATAGCTAGGAGTAGGTCAGGAGTTATTGTACAAAAAACGCATATGAAAATCAGTGGTGTACCTAGGGCTGTGCTTGAGCCGCCCCTGTAAAAACCACCTCTTTTTTTTGTGTGTGTCATCGGCTTCAACTGCTAAGGTTATTTCGCTTCGTGTTCTGTGTAGGCTTTGTTACTGTTTCCCAGCGCCACTTTAGGAACAGCACTGTTAATTAGAACCCAATAGTGAATGGTCGAGTGGGGAATCCTACCAAGGCATCAGAATTAATTTTAAATAATTTTAAATAATTTTAAATAAACCACCTTATTTATTTATATTTTAAGAAGGAGAAGGACCTGTTGAATATTTACTAAATTAAATAGTTAATTCTTAATTTGCACATTTTCTCAAATATCTCGAATACGGTCCATTTTAAAGAAATTATGTATAAAAAACGAATGATAAAGAATTATATCATAAACAAGTTTTATTTGAACTATTTTCTTAAAAACTCAATTTCTGTATGTTTTGTAAAATTTCTCGAATACGAACCATTTTAGGAAAATTATGTAAAATTTAAAATAATAGAAAATAACATTATAAGCAACTTTTATTTGAAAAATTTTCTTCTCCAAGCATAATTACCAGTTATGTTTCATAAAATAGAAAACCGACCTTTTATTAAGTACCCCCAGATGCCCAAAATTTAATAAATGCACCGCAGAATAAATTAAAGCTTAAATTTTAAATTTGGTGTTTTTCTCTTTATCCGTTTTTAAATTATCATCAAAATTATAAATTGGCACTTCTTCTCAAATATTTATTTATTTAATAATAATACTGTGGAAAATTTGGGAAGGACTTGTTCTTCTAATCGTTTCTTCATCTCTAGCCCCTATTATAGAATTTACTCAACTGTTATAATTACTAGCCTTAATAATGGTTTTAATTTGCTCATTCTTAAGCCCATTAGTAAACACATTAACAGCTATTTTTTTCATTTACAACTGTTAGAGACCAAAGCACTATTACCTTCTGCTTGAGCTAGGGCGGTTTCTTCCCGATATCCAAGATATTTCGCTCTTTTCGATCTCCAAAATATCTAGCTCTGCGGTGTTAAGGACGGAGGGCGATTTCTCTTCTATCTCCAGGACCTGTCGCTCTGTGGTTCGGGGGCAGTTTCTCCCCGCTACGGTTTGAATCAACGGCGTGTATCAAGGCACACTTACTGCAATGGTATTCGAAGCTTTGGGTATTAACGAATGAGCTTACGGCTGCTCTAATAGTTGCTCTATGATATACAACGACGCGTTAAGATTTATTTATATAAAAAAATGAGGTAAAATCGGAAAATTGAAATTTTTACTGTTTTAGATCATAATACGTTATTTAAAACTAACATACCCTGTCCTAAGTGCAAAATTTTACTAAATTTTGAAACATATAATCTTTTAATATTATGCATTAGTTTAGAGAGAACTTTATGTGTATTTTGGTGCAAACATAGCAATAAAATTTTGAAGATAAGACCAAATTTTTTTCCACAACCAATCACTAACGTAAAATTTGATATCTATTTTTCTTAAGTTATAATATTTACAATCATAAGCTGTTTTAAGTTTCTTCTTAACATTAATAAATAATTTAGGTAGATTTTGTGTGTCATCGATACATTGACCAAGATAGAAATTCTGAAATCCAGGATTTCCGAGGAGTCTGTGACATATTATGCAAAGAAAACCAGAACTACTGCGATACACCCACAGTCTGATGGAATAGTTAAGTAGAGCAAATCAATAAAACCATTAGCGAATACCTGTCAAAATTGGTTTCCAACAATCAGCGAGATTGGGATCAGTATTTTTCACTCTTCGCAATAACCCATAGGTCCGCCGTTAATAAACACCAGCAAAAGTTGTGTTCGGACGTGAGATAAGTCAATTGTGCAAGCTCAAAGAGTTTGTATGCTGACCTGAAGAAGATATAGCTGGTGAAGAGTACGTGATTCAGTTAGGAAGAAAAATAGACGATATCCATGAGTTGATTCGCTTGGAGACAACCATTTAGTTTTAGTTCCATAAAAGTTCTATCTCTTAATGTCATAGAATCCATTTTTGACGAGTCCGGTCCTGCTCTTTTTCGGATCTCTGTGTCTAATTTGAGAGTTGTGCAGCCTCCATTTTTTTGGTTACCAAGAATATTCAATAGAATAAATCATCATCTGAAACCCCTATTATACACTTATGATCACCGCCAGTTGACGTGAGAGCCGTCAGATTCTAGAATATACTGGAGCCATCGATCAATGACGAAACATCTGTAAACAATGAATCTGGTGGTGGCACCTGTGTAGCATGTTTAGGCGAAAGTGATGATTTTTTGTGTGCCTAGAATGTTCGGCAACGGCACATATTTAAGAATGTTCGGGAACGTCACATATTTATACAAATAGTAAAGTTTTTTTAAAAACAACCAGAAAATAAACAAAAACCAGCCATAAGAGAATAAGTCACGCACTAGTTTTAAACGTTGGAGAGACAAAATGGCTCACCGACATTGGTGGAAGGTTCAATATTTCCTGGATTATCTAGCTGCAGAGGCGCAATGATAGTTAGTGCAATTCTTGAAGATGTCGGACTGATTACAAAATGTTACACGACCTAAATGGTCATTGACAAGTGTAAATAAGATCGTCAAAGAAAAAAGGCATGACTTGATTTACAGAAAAATGCACTAAAAAAGGATACTTATCCCAAAGCACTATAGTTTGATGGCGGCAATGATCGTGCTCTTTACATAGAAAAACAGGGAGATAGGTCATCGAGAAAAATTGTTGTAGAAGAACATGTAGTGGTATTACAGGAACCAGGTAGCGATTATATCGGACATGTAACAGCTGAAACTGGTACTGCCAAGAATATTGCTTCAAAAGCATTTTAAATTATATTACAGAAGCTAATATATTGAGGTCAAGTTGCCGAAGGTTGATATGGAAAAACTGAAGTCAGAGCAACATTATTTGTACCAGATAAGTAATGTTATATCTAATGGAAAGTGTCCAGCTGCTTGGCCAATAAATTTCCAGGAAAGATGACCCACGCACGATGGCTCATTACAGCTAACCGAATATTACGGGCTTATATTGGAATCAAAAAATCATCTGATAATCTAAAAATTCTTACACCGTACATTATGAAAGTATATGCAAAGGTTTGGTTTAGTATCAAAACTGTACCTTTATGTACTTCCGGGGCTTGTCATCTCTTAAAACTAATTCAATATTCAAGACATTTAAATGACTAATTAAGAGCAGCAGTCGACCCAGTAATACAACAAAATGGTATTTATGGCCACCCTGAAAATATATTAATTTCAATGATCTTTGATTCACGTCATTATATACGAGAATTGGGATTTAGGAGAATATTAAATTGTAGATCCTAAGATAAGAAAAAAAAAAACAATCAAATAATGTCGTCAGAAAATTTGAGATTCCTAAATTTAATTTTAATGCCGAAAATTACTTTGATTTGATAAACTGGCAAGAGTGTACAGTAACAGAACCTCCGATGACAAAGCACCTAACCGACAAAAAAATTCAAGATTTTATTGAAACTGGTAGTTGGCTACTGGAAAATCTCTGAAAATTACATGGCCACATACAGGCTGTTGACAGAGGTGTTATATTGTTGAGAAAAGCATCCTTTGTAGCAGTGGCGGCCTGTAATAATTTAAAATGGGTGTTAAATTTTTCCAATAATTTTATCATTTGAAAGTTCGGTTCAAACCTTTGTGCAATAGCCAATATTGCTGTTTTTATTTATTATTTGAGTTTGTATTAAGTGTAGTTATTATTATCAACATCCTGTTTTCAAGCAGTACAACTTTTAATAAATGAATATTTTAGTTAGTGTAATATTTGTTTTGTTTTTAGTACATTGAAAACCATGTATAAACATTATTAATTAGTAAACTGACTTTTCTTCATAATTTGAGATTATTTTTAAATATATATCAGGTTATGTAGAAAGCTTGACATTGATTTTTGTGTAAAAAATATTATATGAAACTTTACCTACCATTTTTCAGTTTCTATTGTAAGTTTAATCATTTTCACAATTTGTCGCAGATGTCAAATAAAAAATA